ATAAAAAAATTATTTAGTTTCGGTTCTTATTCGGTTCTTCGGTTCTTGGTCTAGACCCGAGACCCGACCCAAACCCATCGGTTCTCGATTCGGGTACCCGTTCGGGTATTTAATTTATGAAGAACCGTTCGGTTCGGTTCGTTTCGGGTTCGGTTCGGGACTTTTGGACACCCCTAATATGAAATAATAAGTTAGACCGGCCTATAATCAACATGTTTTGTCACTGTTTCTTTGCTACTAAAGTAACTAAAAGCTTGCTTCTGTTGTCTGTTAGAAGTTAAGACCCTTTTTACTGTCAAAAGAACATTCTTTTAGCTACTATTGGTGATAAACCCAAGCAGCTTCTTCGTCTAAAGCAGCAAAGCCAAACATGAGATAAATTATTAGGATTATTTTTATTTATACATGTTTTTGGTTTTTAGATGCATATAAAGTTTTTGTTGAAATTCTTGTGATAAATGAATCTCAGTCCTGTTATGGAATGTTTGCTCTATTTTCTGAACCTTCAAGCATTGAACTAGAATTTGCTGGATGTACCATTTATTGACTTGTGTTGTGCATTGTTTCTGAGTTTGATATACATTTTTTCTGAAGAATTCAATAGCTCTTTTTTGGCACAATTTAATAAGCATCTAGCGTTGTGAACTGTGATAATGTTATTAAAGATTTTCAAAACCTGAAATGCAGGACAAAATATTTGGAAGTTGATTAATAATGGTTTTATCATCAGGAAGCCAACCAAGATTCACTCTCGATCCCGTGCTCTCAGAATGAAGGAGGCCAAGAGAAAGGGACGTCACTCTGGATATGGTCTGTCTTCTGATTGTCAGAATTTTGTAGATTTTGGATTATTGGTTTCTAGAATTGTAGTAGTTGTACTTTTAGCAAGAACAAATTTATGCATAGTTTTGCTCATTAAATTTGTTTTAAATTTGTTTTAAGCTATACAGGGATCTTATGATAGTTATTTTATTTATCAAATAAAATTAAATTATCAAAATTTGGTAACCATTTTTCTTAAAAAAAAATGCATTCTTTGTGTCAAATCACACCTTTTTTGTGTCTCTTTCCAGGCATGGACCCCACTTGATGTGAAAGAAAAAAATGTATTATTTGAAGAAAGAATGGATCCCCAAACGGAGCCTAAACAACTCGTCTTCTTTTCTTGAAAACTGAAAGCTAAAGTTATGAATTTTATGTACATATCCCCATATTAATATAACTCAGATTTAAAATTTCGACTGCTGCTGAGAAATTAGATTTTTATTTTATTGTTATGATAAACATGCTTCCATGCATTGGTCTCCTTGTTAGTTTAGATTAGCTATTTGTTGGGAAGAGAAGGGAAGAATACAAGCCCAATTTTGAAGATGCTTATGAATAATTGCAGGTAAATGTAAGGGTACTAGGGAAGCCAGATTACCCACTAAAGTCCTTTGGATGCGGATGAGGGTCCTGAGGCGCTTGCTGTGTAAATACAGGGAGTCGAAGAAGATTGACAAGCACATGTATCATGACATGTACATGAAGGTGAAGGTTAATGTTTTCAAGAACAAACGTGTTCTGATGGAGAGCATCCACAAGTCTAAGGCTGAGAAGGCGAGAAAGAAGACCTTGTCTGATCAGTTTGAGGCTAAGAGAGCAAAGAACAAGGCTAGTAGGGAAAGAAAGATTGCAAGGAGGGAGGAACGTCTAGCCCAGGTGACTACAACTTTGATAATAGTTGGATTGCATGCAGATGCTTTGAAAATGACAAAAAATAAGGATTATGAATAACTTACCAGTGGAATTGTTTTGTGTGTTCGTGTATGCATGCATGTCTAAGCCTTTGTCTACTCTAGACCAGGAGACGAACTCAATATGGTATATTATACAATTAATCGACGCCAAACAATCTGGCTTATGAACATGGATTTGTGATGTTCTTCGACTTCTTCCATGCTACAATGTTTACGAAAGCTAACTTGAGGAAGTTTTTGCATTCTGTTGGCAATGATGGGATGTTGGGGTTTTACTACAAAAAACTAAAAATGAGTTTAGGGAATGGGTTGAGTGAGAAGGATATAAAGGAAATGCTTAGGGAGAGAGGTGGGCATCCAGTAGTGCAGATTTATGTTGTTGCCTCATTGCAATTGTATGCATTGTCTGAGCATGCATGGATCTCAGAAGATGATGCGCAATGTGATGACCCACAAACATTTGAAGGTTGGTACGTACCTTCTGTGGAAGAAAATGAGGCTGGGGAAGCTGAAATTGATTGGTCAGATCAGTTTTTTCTTGAGAATGCTGAAGAATTGTGGTCAAATTATGAGGAAACCCTCAGTTACCATTACGAAGAAGATCAAAATGTGGGTCATATTAGGGTTGAAGTTGAGGTTAAGGTGTGGCTGAAGTTGGGGTTGAAGCTGAGGTTGAAGGTGGGGCTGAAGATGAGGTTGAAATATTGGTGGAATCTGATTACGAGATGGAGGATCAGCCAGTATCCAATACTGAAACTGAGCATGAAAGGGTAAATTTCGATTTCAGATTCAGTGTGGGAGATGATCATGACGTTAGGGATTCGGATTCCGACTATGGGGTTGCAGACGAGTTGCAAAGCAATGATAATGCAGGAGAGGATGAGACAACTCCAAGGAGAAGGGCTTTGACTGATGCTTTCAATCCAATGACTGATATGGGGGATCCAATGTTCAAACAAGGTTTGGTATTTGAGTCCAAATCTGTGTTGAAGGCTGCCATCACTTCAGACTCAGTTAGGAGCAACAAAGAAATTGAATACAAGAATAATGATAAATAGAGGTTGAGAGCCAATTGCAAGGGAAATTGTCCCTGGATATTATATGCTACCAAGGAGCATAAGAAGATAACTTGGGTGATCAAATCATATGTGGCCAAGCATACATGCCCCATGGTGTATAAGAATTTTAGAGTAAGTTCTACATATTTGGCAGATAGATATCTGCGTGACTGGATGTCCGAGCCAAAAATGTCGGTGAGCACATTCATGGAGAGGGTTAAAAGGGATGGTTTGGGTGATATATCACATTGGCAAGTGTATAGAACGAAGGAGAAAACACTGGAGAAGATTAGTGGGACTGTGGTGGACCATTACAAAGTAATGTGGGATTACTGTGAGGAGTTGAAGCGAACTAATAGTGGGACCACAGCTTTTGTTGAGGGTTATGCCGGGGAATTCCGACAACTGTATATTTGCTTTGGAGCGTTAAAGGAGGGTTTCCTTGAGGGTGTAGAAGGGTGATTAGCCTGGACGGTTGCTGTCTGAAGACGGAGCATGGTGGGCAGTTGTTATCTGCAGTTGGGGTGGATGCTAACAATGGTATGTATCTAGTAGCGTATGCAGTTGTTGAGGTGGAGAACAAAGATAATTGGAAGTGGTTTTTAGAGTTGCTGAGGGATGATTTGCATATACACACTGGGATGCACTGGACATTCATTCAGATAAGTAGAAGGGGTTGGTTAATGCGATTGAGTCTTTGTTTGAGGATGCGGATCACAGAACATGTGTTAGATATTTGTACAATAATTTCAGTGCGATGCATAAGGGATTGGCTTTGAAGAATTGCCTTTGGGATGCAGCCAGAGCCAATACTATTCCATAGTGGCTTCAACATATGCAAAAGATGTTGGACCTGGACCCGGCTGCATATGGGTGGCTTGAACCAAAACCAGCATCTCATTGGAGCAAATCCCACTTCACAGAGTGGACTCAGTGTGACATGCTTCTGAACAATTTGTGTGAATCATTCAACAGCACAATTTTCAATGCAAGAGAAAAGCCCATTCTAACGATGCTTGAGGAGATTAGGGTATACTTGATGAAGAGAATTGTAGCCCGTAGAGATTCAGCTGATAGATGGACATCAGCAGTGGGCCCGAGAATCCAAAGATTTTCGAAAAGAACAGTAACCTGGCGAGGTTTGAGTGGTCTGAATATGCGGGGAATGAGAAATTCCAAGTTCAGTACAATGCGGTCATTGTACTACATGCTGTTGACTTGAGGGCAAGGACTTATACATGTCGTGGGCGGCATTTATTGGGAATACCTTGTTGCCATGTGATTGCCTCATTGGTATCAAGAGGCCTTAATGTTGTTGATTATGTACACGTATCTACAAAAAGGACTGTTACTTGATCACATATACGCCTTCAATTTCCCCTATAACAGGACCAAACTCATGCCCTAGTCCAGGTCTCAACCCACTCAGACCACCTGCGTACACCAAGAAGTCCGGGAGGCCAAAACAGAATAGAAGAAAAGAGCCAAATGAGGTGGAGTCTTCTAGCCGGGCAAAGAAGTCCAGAAAGCCCGCGCAAAATGAAACCCCTTCTAAGACAACTTCAGCAGGTATATTTGGTGCAAAGAAGTGAGCTGGCCAGATTCAGACATGTCGAAAATGTGGTGAACCAGGGCACAACAGGAGGAGCTGCAAAGGGGCACCACCACCAGCAAGCAACTAGGGACCAGCAGGCATTTTTTGTGGTTTCTGTTGAAGCATCTGTGTTGAACAGTAACTTTCTTTTGTTTATGTATGAATGCTATGTCAATTGAGATCTCTATTAAGCCTTTTATTCTGCTGTTAAGCCTTTTTTTGTTCAGATTATTCTGAACT